AAGTAATTTAATTATAAGTATAATACAAATTATTTAGATTATTCGCAAAAACTAATTATGCAAATAATCTAAATAATTTGCATTATACTAATTATAGCAATAAAATCAAGATATCGCTGTGTAAAAATGTTCTCGCCCACAAGTATTCGAGTGAAATGCAAATATGTTTTTCGAGCGAATATATGGTTGATGCGTTCGAGAACAACGAATCGAACTATCGTGTTCGCTCATTTGTTCCGTATTCAAGGTGAAACTTGGCCGAGACGATCGCGTTAGGTCGACAATTTCGAGCGAAATCGCCGGTCAAACGAGCCACTCGAAGCATGAATGAGCCGATCCTTCTCTCTCTTTCTCCGAGACGACAAATACGAAAAGCATCGCGTGGGTGTCGCGTCCTGTGCGCGCCTTCTCGCACAACGTCACGACTCACTTTTATTGATGCGACCTCCCATTGCATTTAAACCCTCGTCGAACGATGACCGCATGCGCGCGTTTATGCGATCGCATGTACCATCATCCTATCTCCGGGTGCATCTAGCGATGCATCCTGGATGTACGAAGCGTCTCACATTTACGATTAGTTCATCTATTTCCCACGAGAATAATGTTAATCGAAAAATAATGGCCTCTTTCTCAATTAATTTTTTTTATATTTAAATGAAGATATCGTCGAGTCGAAAATCTATCTTCGATCTTAAACTGTCAAAGCAAATTGCTTGTAACGGCATAAATAATTTTTAAATAGAGTATATATATTTATATATTTCCGATAGCGGAAGCAATTCCCATTCTATTTGTGTTGTAAGAGTTCAATACCGGAAACGCTTCGACTACGAGATTCAAATTGATCGTAAAATATCACGCGCGTTCAGCAAACTGTGTAAAGACGATAGGAAACAGAAGTAATGAAATAGTCGCGGAATCGGATCGCGCATCCGAATTCGCGCGTTCGATCAACGACGCGACACTAAAAACGAACAAATGCGAGATGTCGTCGTCTGAATCGTACGAGCTTTCGAGCTTTTGTGCGAGAGCATTTTACGACTGTGCCTTTACGAGATCAAATGAATGAGCAGTGCGCGAATTTATAGTTGTGCACTTACTTATGCATTGGATGGTGCAGTCGCTTGTTACAGAGCACGTCGTAACAGAATCCTCTCCTTTTTATTATTTTTTTAAAGAAGGGGTTGCTGTCATTCGAATAGATGATAATTTAAATATTAATTTTAGGGGATTTCAATTCCGAGAGTAATTAAAGATTTATTTGAGTATTTAAAGTTGAACGTTAAAAACAGAGACAAAAGCTTATATATCAAATGTGATATATACGTTTGTCAGAGAAATTTTAAGTAATTATACATTGAAAGAATCATACTTGTGGCACAGAGAAAGCAGCGAGACATCATTGAAAAGAATTATGCACGTGCTATATATGGCGGTATAGCATCGAAAAAAAAACTTTAAAGGTACCTCTCTTAAGGCAGTTAAGCAACTTTCGATTCGATCGTTATCTTCGATTTCATATATTGATTCGCGCACTCGATAACTCGATTCGACACGTTCAGTAAACTCATCCGAATTTTGATTACCATGAATAAAGAACAATTATCTCTTTCTCGACGTACCTTATAAGGTATCATTATACAATTTCTAGAATAATAAAAGCGATCGTTAAACGCACAAGTAAAGCACGCGATTGTTAAAACGCGCAGCCATCTATAGCCAATTTATTTATTTCAGAATAAAATGCATCTCTTTAAAAGACAAATAACATATAATTTAATAAATACGAGTTTATGAACAGAAGAGATATATTTTGATTATTATTTCTATAAAAGAGATAAGAGAATAAAAAGGTAATATTCTTTTCAAATTATATTTAAAAATTTTTGAAGAAAAATTATACTGAAATATACAAAATTATATGTGCACTTTTCGTGAAAATAATTAATCAATCCCAAGAGATTTTAATTTAAATAATATTTCAGGAAGATGGTATGAATTGAGAAAATAGAAATGATGAAATATGAAAGCTCGCACATAAATAAAAAATTACATAAATTAAATACAAAATTTCCAAATCTCCATCACAAATTTGATAAAATAATTTGATAATCTTTTTTCATCCAATTGTCCACATTTATTCTCCTATATTTATTCCCCTAGGTATATTATATATTATTATAAGAAGAAAAAAGATGAAATATTTGGAGTATCGCAAAATTGATGATGTCTCAAAGTCTCACGGTGCAAGCAAACAGGATGCACATTTCACTCTCGATAATTCTCGATAGTTCCGCGAAGGCGGAAGACATCGCGTGACGCGTCTCCGGGTCGCGATCGGCATGAATTAACGGCGATTTCGTTACGACCGCGTCGACACCTTCCTTCATGAGCGACGCGTACGTGTGTCGTATTATTTATAGAATGCCGGAGACTAAGAGCTCTGATAGGCAATCAAGGCAGGGCGCGCGTGCAGCATTCCACGGCTGAGTCACCGCAGTGCGTACAAACCGCTGTAGAGACACTCGACGTCTGGACCGCGAGTCGCCATGTTCAGTTCAAGAATATGTATATGCGTGTAAATACAAATCCGAGATATGTGGGAGAGATATATATTTACCTCACATACAAAAAATATATATATATATATATATATATATATATATATATATTATTATATATAATATTATTAATTTTATATATATTATATATTATAATATTATATAATGGTATCACATAATATTATAATATATTATTATATATATAGTATATTCCGATATTAATTTATCAGAATTTTTCTCTCAAATATCTTCCTCTCTTTTATATTATTAATATTAATTTTAAATTTTGTTGAGAGAAAAACTTGATGCGTTTTTATTAATGCAAGAACGATAATATTAACTGCATTATTTGCGCTGATCGATTGAATTTGTTCATCGGATTCTCTGACTTTGCCTTTGCCTGCACATCGTATTAATGTCAAACGTTTCTTTCTTTGTTTACGCGAGCAAACGCTATGAATATCCGGCATCGTATGGTGCACAATGCATTATGCGTGTCACGATTCCAGATAATAACAGACAAATCAATGACATACTGGGCAAATATGTCGAATAATTAAAAGTAATTATAAAATACAGAATCATAATTTATCAATGATCATTACATATGATTATTAAAAAATGTTACTTCAAGGTTCATAATATTATCATGAGATTTTTAATTGCATTAAACTTAATTAAAATCCAATTAGCATAAGTAATTATGAAAAAATATTAATGTTCGTGACAAATCTCCTCTTTTCGCGCGAATGTCTAAAGTTTTATATAAAATTTAATTTTATATAAAAAAAATAACCTTTTTTATTTAATATTTTAAATCTTAAGTAATATGTAAAAGAGAGCTTTTGTCCGGTCGCAGTTTTATATTTCTTTTATGTACAATATCATGCGATATTATTAAAATTAGTATAGGATCAATTTTATAATATTATCAGAACAACGAATTATACTGGAGTGAGGTTCATTGTACGTCCTCGACCTCAGATGAAAGGAATTGTCACCCTAATTCGAGTAAGAGAACCCTTCACGAACTAGAATACGTGCTCGGCATTGTGGCCATTGTTAGTTTTGTTACGGCACTATTGTGAAACCGGTCATTCACGGTGGTATTCTCCGCTTTATTCCAAAATATCCTTTGAGATTTTTCGTCATCACGAAAGAACGGTCTCTATTAGACGATGACTTTATCCGACAAAAAATTAATACGTTTAAGTAAAATCAATTTCCGCGTGCTGCTGTAATTATTTAAAGAAGAATTATCGGAATATTCAAACGAACAAAAATTAAATTCAAAATGCGTACTCTAAATATTGTATAATTTATATGCCTTACATACATATCACAGAGAAACTTTTCTTATTTTTCTTCTTTCTATATGTTTTAAAATAAATTCAATATAGGAACAAATATTTAAGATTTATGAAAAAATTTCAACATTAGAGAGAGAGTTATTTTTTTAGTTGAACACACTTTTTGTATTTTTCATTTTTCCTCTCTTCTCTCAAACATCGAAATATATATATATTCTATGTCTACTTTATTTTATTCCGTTCTAGTTCAATTAAAAAAAACAAATCTATTGCGCGCAAAACACGTACGTTACGCAATTATTTCTACCATCTTTTCAATTATCGAATATTTTAATTGTCTATTATTTTCTCAATGTTTTTTTTCTGAAAGTTGCGTTGATGAACACACGGCAATTTAATATTCGTGAATAAATTATCATCCAATAATCACTTATAAATTATTCACCCGACGATTATTTCATCGTTGACAGATGCCTTTTCCATGTCTCTTCCTTCCTTGCATACATTCTTTGCTGCTCCTTTGCACAACCCTCATACGACTCTCTTTCGCGGAGACACGTTAATTATGATCGCACGCGCACTATCATTATCAGAACATGACGATAGCGCGACATTTTGCACTTCCGATGATAATAATTGTACGCAACGCGCATTTGATTATATTGTGATAAAAGAACAACGATCGCACTTTATTCCGCGCTTGCTAACTTATAATATATATGCAAATAAGTATACAAACTGAAAAATTAAAGATAAATATTCGCAGAATATAATATCCAAAAATACTTATTTATTGTCTTTATAAGACAAAATATTTAACATACATATGTATAAAATAATTATATGCACAGAATTTTCCATTCCTTGCAATTTCAAATTAATGCTGAGTTTGATCATTTCTCATGGATAATATAAGTGGATCAATATTTGTCGAATTAATAATGTGGAAATATAATGGCGATAAATAATATAGTAAGAATTTTCGATCCTCTATCTTTCTATACACACAGCTCCTAATTTTTTTTCTTGACAACAGAAGATTCAATATAGGTATATTCGATCGGCATATTAGGTGACTTTTATTATTTATTGTTATTTAGCAAGTCTAGTCCGCACGCGCGTCCCGAATTCTATTTGCCCCGAAATTATTATTGTGGTAACAAGTAGGTGCGAAACAAGAGTCAAACATTTCAAACTAAAAGCATATCAAACGTTATTAAATTACTTGCATTAAAAATTCATTAAAGTGAAAGAAAATGTTTGCTGGAAATATGGGCTATCTGCTAGCTGTAACTAATGCGATTACTTTAAATCGCTTTTCGACGTTCAACCCTTTAATAAGGTATTTTTCTTCTCAAATAATTAAGCCCAATAAATGGTGGAGACCCGGTACTGAAGATTCTGCCATCAATGAGATTAGACCATATAATATTAGTTTTTCTGAAGAGGTAATTCTTTAAAAAATATGTAAATTGAATTTATTTAAAATCTATCTTACACAAATAAAAAGTCCAGATTAATTAAGCAGTATTAATAATATAAATAAACTATTTTCAGCTCGTGAAAGATCTAAAATATAAAGTAAGAAATAGTGAAATTTTTGTGAAACCAAAATTGGAAAAAGATCGTAAAAAAGAGATGAACATGTACACTTTGTGCACCCTTTTACGTCAGTGGGGATATAATTATAATTTTCAGGAACGCGAGAAATATATAAATAGTAATCCACATTTTATAACTAATGTCCAAGGTAAAATAATAATTTGAAAAAGTACAATAAATAAATTTAAAAATTATGTAAATAATTTTATATGTGCAATACTTTTATAGCTTATTAATTTGAAATTCAATTCAATTAAGATAAAAATAGTAGTTATACCATTAAACTGAATTAAAATACAATATAAATATTGAAAATATGTATAAATATTATAATGTATAGTTGATAAAAATTTTTAATTTATTTAACTTTTGTTATTATTGATTTTTTCTATTATATTGTAAAAACCATACTTGTGTTATAGCACAAAAATTTATTGTAAATAGCCATACAATAATATTGCAATATTACTTTGTTGATACTTTATATTATTAGCCGTAAAAAAATAACATATAACAAAAATGGACATTGTTTAACATTCTTCAAAGTCACAAATACTTTGATCGGTAATGATCGTTAATAACGACTATAAGAATTCTAATAGCTCAAACTCATAATAATGTAAAATATCAGTAACAATATTTGAAATTTTCACTTTTTAGAAATTAAAATAAAATATAAAAAAACATGTGATGATAAATATTTAAAAAATCTGATGAAAAAAGAAAACATAATACTGTATTTTAAAAAGATATTTACACAAAGAAAGAAAAAATTTAAAAAAGAGAGAATTATCAATCTTAACATAGTTATTAAGTTAAATAAATAATTGTAGGTATATTTTGCATTCTCAGGATTAGACATTCACTTTATTCATATAAAGCCACATGTGAAGAAATGTAATGTCAAAAAGAGATATATGCCATTGCCATTGCTACTTTTACACGGATGGCCAAGTTCAGTAATAGAATTTTATAAAGATATATCATTAGAAAAGTCGCGTGAAATAATAATACCTTCCTTGCCTGGATTTGGTTTCTCTAGCGCACCAACAATATCTGGTTTTTCATGTATTGACATGAGTGTGGTTTTAAAAAATCTTATGTTGAAACTTGGTCATGATAAATTTTACGTTATAGATGACCGTCACGATGCTATTAACAGCTATATTATGTCGATGTTATTTCCGCAACAGTAAGTTTATTTTTTAATAAGAAGTTTATGAAGGTTCTAATTCTAAAGAAAAAAATATATAAAAATTGTTTATTATTTAAATTGTAGCGCGTATAAAGATTATAGCATATTTGGATATAACAACGCATATCGAGAAAGAGATTACTTTTTTTCGGAATTTACTAAAAAAATAGTACCAGTTGAAAAACTCTTAAAAAAATTCGGATACCTTGAGGATCAAGCTTCAGAAATAAACAAAACTGATAATGTTTCAGAAATAAACACAATTAATAAAGCTGCAGAAATGAACACAATTGATAATGCCTCAGAAATAGACACAATTAGTATGTAATGTATTCGTATTTTATAATTCTATAAAAATATTTATAGATTTTATTATTAATTGAATGCAGGAGATTAATGTAGAATATAAGCAAGAGATTAAAAATCTAGCATTTTCAAAGTTTATACTATTTGTTTTAGAGATTGATTTAAAGGATTCACCAGATGCTTTGGCAGCGTATTTTATGGAAATAATTTTGAATCGACCATCTTCTAAAGCCTACCTCACAGATGAACAAAAAATGCATTTTTACATGGAAACAATTGATAATTTAATGATGTATTGGGCACCACAGTGCATAAATACAGCGATACAAGTATATGACGAACAGTTTAAAAATCTGCCAAATGAATTTTTTAAGCTATTAAACAATTTTTAATCGTAAGTTGCTATTGTATTATAATAAAATAATAAAATTTATGAAAAATTACAAATGTAACATTTTTATAGAGAGCCATTGATAATCTCCGATTTTTTCAGTATTTCTGCAAAGGTCTTCCACTTTTAATGGCATTGAAAAAAACAGTTCCTGAATTCCTTGGATGTTATATCAACATAATTAATTTTCACTATTTGAAAAGTTCGATTATTTTACAAATAATATTATATATAAATTAATTTTAATAATATTATATATAAATTATAATATTATATATAATATTATAATATAATATTATATACAATATTATATATATATATAATATTATATATAAATTAATTTTAATAAAAGTGTATAAATAATGAGAATAAAAAGAATTTAAGCATGTATTCGGATTATTTCAAATGCAAAAAAATAAAAGAATTTTTAGCGTAAATATATACGTACATATGTATGTGAGATAATAATTGTAATTGTGAGAATATATAATTGTAATTGTTAGACAACTTAATTCATGGATTACATATGCATGTATATAAATGTAAATTATTAATGCATGTCAGAAAAAGAGAAGCATTAAGAAAATAATATATAACTATTTTCAAAAATTCATTATCAAAGATCGATAATTAAAGAGAAGATAAAAATAATCGTATAACACAATTTTATATTAAATTTATAAAAATTATAGAGGAAGCAGAATATAGAAAAAATTTCTCGATGTGATATGTACTATATAAATATATGTATATTTAAAAATCGCGTAAAAATCTATATTTCAATCAAATATTATAATTAATATTAGTTAAAAATTCTAATATTTAAAAATTAGCTCAAAGTCATAATAATTAATTAGTAGATATCATATACATATATATACGTATATAATAATTACTTGGTTAAGACTATAATAGAATATATTGAAACAAATGGGAGAAAAATATAAAGATTAATATTTCATGTCATTATTATTCTTATGTTTCACTACCCGATTATTAAAAAATAAAATTCTGCATTTTGGTGCAGCTGAAATTTACGCGCCTTAAATTTATCTTCTTGGCACGCAAACTGAATTTTACGCAGCTGCGTGGCGTCTTGATTCGCGATGCAATGCGTCGCGTCGTCTCGACTGTTGGATCTCCTTATTTATCGCGAAGTGATTCGAGCTTTCGTTGAAATCCTTCCCACTTTGAATTTCCGAGTTAATTCACAAATGCAATTGCGACACTCATATTTTGCGACACCAAGGCATCCACGCGTATATATACATGATATAATAAAATTTGACAATTTATCCTAGAACACGTATGTCCATTTTTTATCGTCTCCTTTTCCAATTTCACATTAACAGAAAACACATCAATACATATATCTTTATCTCAAAAAAAAAAGAAGTAACTTATATTGAAAAGCTGCTTAAATTTTCAAAGTTATTTTCCTTCATTGAATATTTTAAACACAACATGCGGATGTGATCGTTTCTTGAGAATCTCATGAAATTTAATAGTCAAGCATAATTAGAGGCAAACGCGGAGCGACAGCTTCGAACACCGGGCGTGTCTTCCGCGAAAACGCGCGAGCGCATTTCGATTGCGTGAGCGCAATCGCCAGCGCGCTGCACCTGCCGAGAAGTTGCATACCGCGCGTGTACGAGGGATGCGAGTTATTTCGGGAGATCGTCGAAGCTCGACATCGCAGGCGGCAGCAGCAGCAACAGCAAAGCGTCATACTGTCTGTGAGAGAGGCGCACGTGCCTCGGCGCTAATGGCTCATTCAGGATGCGACCGCGCGAACGAATTCAAATCAAAGAAGACTGACGCGACGGTCAAACTCATTTTCGCCGAACTTGGCTGTTTCGCGGTCCAAACATTATTTATGGTCATTTTATTAGTATGTACTTGGTGGCATTCGTCAATAATACATCTTTTTTTTAGATATACATATGCAATTTTCAGATTTTTTCAATATTACACAGAGAAAATTGTCTCTTAGAATTTATCCGAAAAATCATGATATTGGAAGAATTTTATAAGGGTTTTTTGATTAATATTTACCACAATATAAATATTAATATCTACCATAATAAGATATAAAATATACTCGATTAATTTTACTATGTATTATACATATTAATATTTTTATCGTAAGAGAAAATTCTCTCCGTGTATGTATTTCTTTTTTAATTTCGAAACACATATATATTCTCAATAAAACCGTTATTATGTAGCAAGCTGGAGCAAATCGGGAAAGTTAAATTGAATATCGATTTTAGATTAACTTATCGTATTTAAACAAGTTTATATAGGAATTAAGATAAGTATCCCCCTTTTAGCGAATTAAAAAATGTTATTTCCAAGTTAATCAAAGTTCCTCAATTATGTAGTAAATGTTGGTCAAAAAATACCGCCCTATAGTTATCGCGTTCGAGAGAACGCGACCTCGGGGATTTCGTAAAGCGAAAATCGAGTAGGCGATAGGTACATCGAGAGAAGCGCTCCTCGCGGAATAGAGCGGTCCAGGAGGCACGCGATGCATCCATCCCGACGCGGAACGTGACGTGACACCGGATCCGCCTCCGGTTGCCTGCGCTCGCTCGGTCCGAGGCAATTCAGCCGGCACATCGCTCGGTTATTACCCCCGAAGTAACTTCTCTCGGGTGTGTATGTTCCTCCCTTTTCGAGAGACGCGAGCGCGGCGTGTTTCCTCTCGCTTGACAGGCGGACAAATCGCCGCTCTCTCTCTCTTGCAGTCCGGAAACTCTCCCACGATTGCACTCGGGAATAATGCAGCGTGAGCCAAGTGCACGAGAGCCTCGACCTCGACGATGATTGCCGTTCCGAAGGGGATCGAAGTGTAACTATCGACGGCCGAAACGTAGCTTGTTTGTCAAGCAACAACATCGCGTCGAAGGACGAAACGTCGCACGTATAGCCTTCGCAGTCGAGTTGCAATCGAGTGAAAAATTGCCGCGGATATATACCGTAATTTCAAATCGAATTTGCGACATCGATCTCTATCCTTAAGGGATATTCCTTTCAAATTGGTCGAAAGGCGTGTCGGAGAAATTTCAGCTCGGTGGCTTTCTGAAGCGTCTATTTACGTCGAGTATATAAAAATACGATATATTCATATCGTTCGGAATATATAGCATTGAGTTGCGAAATTCTTATTATTGCGCGGTGATTTTTTCAATCTGGGAAATAGGAATTTTTTATAGAAAATAAACGCGTATGAATCAGCCATTGTCCTCTCTCTCTCTCTCTCTCTTCGAACGACAGTTTCATGTTTGATTCGCGACTACGGAAGCATCGCGAGTCCCGTCATGCGAATATTGCGATCGTAATTCTGGGAAATCGGATACGATTTCCTAAATCACGCGATTTTCACGGCCGAGCCGATCTCTCCCGATTGCCCGGATTCCCACACGGGCGATATTAATCTGACGATTTATAGAGGACGACAGAGCACCGAAAGGACCGAAATTCATGATTCTATATCCCCGCATACTCTTTCGCCACGCCATACGCGTCTCCTAATAAAGTTTCGTCCCACTTTATTGCGAGGTTATTGAATATGTCGTCCATTCCTCATCGTGATTTATACTTCCTGCCTCTACCTGCCGTCGCGACCGGAGAGAGAAAGATCCTCTCTCTATACGGCTGTCGTGTAAATAATTACGGCGGTATAAAAGTTTCCAGACGAGAGAACACCGTTCCCGCTAAGCCGCGTAACCCACAGTCGAAAAAATGATGAAACTCACCGGTAGCTGCTAATGCTAGATACGTCTCCAGGGGACGCAAGACCGATAACTGTGAAAATGAATTATGGGAAAGTCATAACCCACGTCGGGTATCGCGACGTGATTTATTGAGAAAGAAAAAAATCGAAATTTCCGGTGATTTCTACTCGTCCCTGCAGGACATCACGTTTTATAGAACGCTAAGAATTTCTTTTTAAATTTTTATATGGACCAGTTTTTTTTTTTTTTTTTTTTTATACGTACCTATAAGGTAGGTATATGAGAAATTTAAATTTGTCAAAGTAATCGACGAAAGCGGGATTTTTCTCTTTCACAATATTTAATTACGACATAAATTTCGGATTATAGACGCTCGCGTATGTATCGAAGAATTAATCACGCTTTAGAATTATTCATATAGATGGAGCGAGATTTTGAAATAAACTTGACCTAACATGACATGCGTTTTCTTCTTTCTTATTAAATATATTCCTTATCCGACGAGAAAATCATGCTCGCGCAAACCGGCTTCGTTAAACTTTTTAATAAGAGGCAAACGTTAATCGTGGGACCAATTTATACCTAATGACCGACGACGCACCACTAAATTAGCTTTCTACCGCTGGAAGGCCTACGAAAATAGACGACGAATAAAATTGTTTCCTGTTACGAACCATATTAATTAATCTCGTGCCGTTCGTAATATTTTTCAATCAAGAAAAGAGAATGTCGATTGTATTCTCAGAATGACATGAATATGTACTAATGCTTTTTTATAACACTTCTCGAGTTTAATAATCTTCAATTCTTAAGTATAAAAAATTTTAGCGCATGATATCATAAATCTTTTTTTTTTCCCAAGTAATTTCTCGTAGAATTGCTCGTTGTGTGCGGAAATAAAGCGCAGCGTATATAATTAATAACGCCATAAATAAATTTTTACAAGTTCCGTATATCAAGCACATCTCTCTCCTGCGTATAAATCGTATAAATTCTTTAAATACTCATCTTTGAATGCACACGCGCGATTGAGTAAGAAACGAGAGGGAAAGGTTTATGGTCGATATTTTTGACATTCCATTACCCTGCTAAATCGTATGCATTTCTGCCTTATGTACCGCGTACCGTTCGATTAATTAGCTAAGCTCGTAAATGTTGACTATCATCGCGTTCGTCATTGTTCTCTCTCTCTCTCTCTTATCGGACTTTAGCCCCGAGCAAGAAGCCGTACTCTCGTCTAGACGTTAAGGCTCGACTGCGTGTGATGCTCGCTGGATGTGCTGGAATTACGACTACCGGTTTTCCTTTGGTAGCGCACGGAGAGAGAACTCGAGAGACTCTGGAATTTCTTCCAGGGAACTTATTACGAAACATTCGCGGAAAATCCTGATCCGTTACCGCATCGGGCGGGCGTTCACCTCTTCGCTATATATATTGCATATGCGAGACTCGCCTGTGGG